CCACATTCCCTATATCTCCCAAGCACCCCTGGCTGGCAGGCCACCTTCCCTATATCTCAGCATCCCCTGCTCCCACTTTCGCATCTTCTGCATGAGCCACCTTCCCTATATCTTCAGGCATTCCTCTCTGCTGTCAGGCTCACCTTCCCTATATCTCAGCATCCCTCTGCTGTGCAGGGCCACCGTTCCCTATATCTACAGCATGCCCCCCTCTGCCTGCAGCCACCTTCCCATATATCTCAGCATCCTCTCTGCCTGCAGGCCACCTTCCCTATAATCTCCCGCATCTCCTGCCTGGCAGGCCACCTTCCCTAATACTCTCAGCATCCCCTCTGCTGCAGGCCAACCTTCCCTAATATCTCAGCCATCTCTCTGCTGCAGCCACCTTTCCTATATCTCAGCATCACACCTCCTGCTGCAGGCCACCTTCCCTATATCTCCCGCAATCTTGCGCTGCAGGCCACCTTCCCTATAATCCGCAATCTCTGCTGCACGACCACCTTCACCTATATCTCAGCATCCCCTCGCTGCAGGCACCATTCCTATATCTAAGCATCCCTCTGCTGCCAGGCCACCTTCCCTACTATCTCCAGCAATCCTCTCTTGCTGCAGGCACCATTCCCTATATCCTCAGCATCCCCCCTGCTGCAGGGCCAGCCTTCCTATATCTCAGCATCCCGCTCTGGCTGCCACGGCCACCTTCCCTATATCTCCAGTCACTCTGCTGCAGGACCACTTCCTATATCTCAGCATTCCCCATCTGCTGCAGGCCACCTTCCCTATATCCAGCATCCCTCTGCCGCAGGCCCACCTTTCCCTATATCTTCAGCATCTCTGCTGCAGGCCACCTTCCCTATATCTCAGCGGATTCCCCTCTGCTGCAGCCCACCTTCCCCTAATATGTCCGCATCCCCTCTGCCTGCAGCACCTTCCCTATATCTCAGCATCCTCTTCTGCTGCAGGCCATCTTCCTATATCTCAGCATCCCCCCTCTGCTGCAGCCATCTTCCCTATATCAACCCTCGTGGAGGCCGATTCCCATCCAGCACCGCTCCTGCTGCAGCCACCTTCCCTATATGATCTCACGCATCCGCCCTCTGCTGCAGGCCACCTTCCGCTATATCTCGCAATCCCCTCTGCTGCAGGCCACCTTCCCTATATCTCAGCATGCACTCTCTGCCTGCAGGCCACCTTCCCTATATCTCAAGCATCTCGATGCTGAAAGGCCACCTTCCCTATATTTAGCTCTTTGAGCGACCTTCCCTTTCTCCATCCCTCGCTGCACGCCATCTTCGCCCTAATATCTCAAGCATCCCCCCTGCTGCAGGCCAGCCTTCCCTATATCTCAGCATCCCTCTGCCTGGGCAAGGCATCTTCCCTAATAATCTCCAGCATCCCTCTGTGCTGCCAGCGCACCTTTCCCTTATCTTCAGATCACCTTCTGCTGCAGGCACCTTCCCTATATCCCAGCATCCGCCTCTGCTGCAGGCACCTTCCCTATAATCTCAGCATCCCCCGTCTGTGCCAGGCCCACCTTCTCCCTATATCTCAGCATCCGCCTCTGCTGCAGGCCACCTTCGCCTATATCTCAGCAATCCCCTCTGCTGGCAGACCCACCTTCCTATATCATCAGCACCCCTCTGCAGGCCACCTTCCCTACTATCTCAGTCCATCCCCTCTGCCTGCAGGCCATCTTTCCTATATCTGCAGCATCCCCCTGGCTGCAGGCCACCTTCCCTATATCTCAGCATCCGCCTCTCTGCAGGCCATCTTCCTATATCTTCAGCTCCCCCCTGCTCAGGCCACCTCCCTATATCTCAGGCATCTCTCTGCTGCAGGCCACCCTTCCCTATACTCTCAGATCCCCCCTCTGCCTGCAAGGCCACCTTTCCCTAATCTCAGCATCCCCTCTGCTGCAGCACGCCACCCTTCCCTATATCTCAGCATCCCCTCTGCTGCAGGCCACCTTCCCTATATCTCAGCATCTCTGCTGCAGGCCACCTTCCCTATATCTCAGCATCCCCTCTGCTGCAGGCCACCTTCCCTATATCTCAGCATCCCCTCTGCTGCAGGCCACCTTCCCTATATCTCAGCATCCTCTCTGCTGCAGGCCACCTTCCCTATATCTCAGCATCCCTCTGTCTGCAGGCCCACCTTCCCCTATATCTTCAGCATCACCTCTGCTGCAGGCCACTTCCCTAATATCTCAGCATCCCCTCTGCTGCAGGCCATCTTCCCTAATATCTCCAGCACACCCGCTTGCTGCAGGCCACCTTCCCTATATCCCAGCATCCTCTCTGCTGCAGTCCACCTTCCCTATATCCCAGCATCCCCCTCTGCTGCAGGCCACCTTCCCTATATCTCAGCATCTCTGCTGCAGGCCAACCTTCCATATCTCAGCATCCCCTCATGCTGCAGGCCACCTTCCCTATAGTCTCAGCATCCCCTCTGCCTGCATGGCACCTTCCCTATATCTCAGCATCCCCCCTCTTTCTCAGCATCTCCCATCACTGCCACCACAGACCAAACAGACAGAGAGAGAGAGCATGACAAGGAGAGAGTGCCTTGCGAAGGATCAGATTAAGCGTGAAGTGACTCTCGCGTCCGCCGCCACCACCGCCGCTGTGCCGCCGCGCACCGCCGCCGCCCGCCGCCGCGCCCGCTGCAGCCGCCACCGTCTTCAGCTAGCGGCGTAGCCCACAGGCACTTGCAGCGTTTCAAATAAAATCTATAATTGCTACATATAACATGCTACATGCTACATAACACTATAATATATAAGTGTAAGCGTGCCACAGTGGCAGCCGCGAGAGCAAGTGCCGCCGGCAGCGTATGTTGACAAGGATCTTGGACGGAATATTACCAGGAAACTGTCGGCATTAATAGGTGAAAGAGAGTATAAAAAACAATTATAGAATTGCTAGTAATAGATTTCGTATTTATTTAGCAATTATATTTTATTGAAACGCTTCAAGTGCCTGTGGCTACGCCGCTAGCTGAGACGGTGGCGGCGGCAGCGGCGGCGGCGCGCGCGCAGGCGGTGGTGGCGGCCGGACGCGAGAGTAGCAGCAGCAGCAGCAGCAGGCAGCAGCAGCAGATCATCATCAGCAGCAAGCCGCATCATTCATCATCATCCAGCAGCAGCAGCAGCAGCACCAGCAGCAGTAGCAAGCAGCGGAGTAAGCCAGCGAGTAGTAGCAGGCAACAGCAGCAGCAGCAGTAGTACAGCAGCAGCAGCAGAGCAGCAGCAAGCACAGCAGCAGTATGTAGTAGCAGCAGCAGCATCGATCATCATCATCATTAATCATACAGCAGCCAAGCAGCAGCGCACCAGCCAAGCAGTAGCAGCAGCCAGCAGCAGCAGGTATAGCCAGCAACCAGCAGGCAGCAAGCAGTCACGCTATAGTAGGCAACAGGAGCAAGCAGCAGCAGCAGCAGGCAAGCAGCAGTAAGTAGTAAGCCAGCGCAGCTCTCATCATCATCATTCATCATCAGTGCATCAGCATCAGCAGCAAGCAACCAGCAGCAGTAGCAGTCGCAGCAGCAGCAGCAGCAGCAGCAGTAGTAGCAGCAGCATCATCGAATCATCAATCAATCATCAATCAAGCAAGCAGCAGCAGCACCCAGCAGCAGTAGCAGCAGGCAGCAGCAGCAGTATAGCAGAGCAGCAGCAGCCAGCAGCAGTATTAGCAACGCAGCAGCAGAGCAACAGCGCAGCAGCAGCAGCAGCAGAGCAGTAACAGTATGGCCGTGCTGCGTGACTATATCTGTGCGTCGCGTGACAGACACAGCAGGTCACACCAGCGACGATCGCTCAACGCGCATCGTTACGTCTCCCGGATAGTAACCTGATATTATACACACACACATATATATATTATATATATATATATACAGAGGCGAGAGAGAGAGAAGAGAGCGAGGGAGAGAGAGGGAGCACCACCAAACCCAAAGGCCATTGGTGACGAGGAGTGTTTTCGTATTTGATCAGTACGAGATCACCAACTTGCAGATTCCTTTCTGCTTTTAACCATTTCTGCCTTTCCTGTAGCGATGGCAGATATTCCTTTAGCCATCGTTGCCAGAATACGTCAGCCAGATACTGAACTTGGCGCCATCGTTTGCGGTAAACATCCTGCTTAACGAAGATTCCAGGTGGGAAGGATGGACCAGAGCGAAGTAACAGCGGATGGTTAGGTGTCAATTGAGCCGCGTCACGTACGTGGGCCATCGGATAGTTTGGTAATGGGACGACCATTCATGATGCCTTCTACGATGCACATGAGGGTGACAAGTCCTTCATCATTAAGCGGTTGCTGATCAAGCAAGCTGTTCAAAATGGAACGTATTGTCCGAATTTGGCGTTCCCACACCCCACCCATGTGGGAGGCTGTCGGAGGGTTAAATATCCATTTGATCTCCTTTTGGCACAAGAAGTCCTGTATCTTCCCTTGATTCCACTCACGGATGGAAAGGCGCAGCACCTTTTCTCCTCCAACAAGGTTGGTACCGTTATCTGAGCGCACCTCAACCGGATTTCCACGCCGAGAAATGAAGCGTTGAAGTGCATTGATAAAGGAGTCCGTCTCCAACGAGTGGCACACTTCAATGTGTACGGCTCTAGTTGTGAGGCACGTGAAAAGGCAACCATATCGTTTAACCTCACTCCTAGCTCGCTTAACCATGAAAGGGCCAAAAAAGTCTACTCCAACCATAGTGAATGGTGGAGGGGTGACACAATCCTTTGGCAAGTCTGCCATACATTGCGACTCAAGTGAGGCTCTCATTTTACGACATGGAATGCAGCGGAATATCACGTGTTTTACTGCTGCTTGGCCCTTGACAATCCAGAAACGTTGCCGTATCTCTCCAAGTGTGCGTTCTATGCCGGAGTGTCCTGTTGCCACATGGTAGTGTCGGATGATCAGATCAACAACTGGGTGACGATTGGGGAGAATCCACGTGTGCTTGGCTTCTGCACTGAGGGTCGCATTTGCCAGTCACTCTCCAACACAGATTATGTTGTCTCTAGATGTCATGGGTGCAAGTTTACGAATATTGCTCAACTTGAGCTGGGCATCATTGAAGCTCGTTCCCTGGATATATCTGATTATCTCCATTTCAGCAGTCGCAATGTCGTGCACTGTGAGTTGTCCACGAATATGGGTTGTCATAGTGGCTTTCTGAATTCTATGGCGAAGAATGCCTTTAACACGTAGGATCCAAGCCACGGCCTTCTTGAGTTTATACCATGCTGAATGTCTCTTTAACAGGGTATGGATGACGTCGCCTCCGGCATCAATCGCTACGTTATACACTCGAGGTTCCTTCTTAACCTCAACATCGTGGCTTAGAGCCTTTTCAGAAAATTCAGGCTGCACTGGCCAAGTCGCTTCCTTCTGCCATAGGAAGCTGGGCCCATGTATCCACCGCTCATTGTCAAGAAGCTCTTGTACAGTACGTCCTCGTAAAACGTCATCTGCAGGATTGGATTGAGTATTCACGTATCGCCACTGAGTGGGTAATGAGTGCTCACGGATCTTGGCAACGCGGTTGGCAACAAACGTCTGAAATCGCTTGTCGTCATTTCTTATGTAGTGCAAGACTATCATGCTGTCGCTCCAGAAATCTGAGTCTAGCAGTGTCATTGTCAATTCTCAGCGTATCATTTCATCTAGCTTGACAGATAGCACAGCTGCTGCTAATTCCAGGCGTGGTATTGTCGTAGATTTTAAGGCCGCTACTTTGGCCTTTGACATCAAAAGGTTACAATGCACTTGTCCTAAACCATCCACAATCCTCAAGTATGTCGCAGTTCCATAACCGCTCTCCGAAGCATCTGAAAAATAATATAGCTGCGCCGAATTTGTATCGTCTAGTGCTGTTGGTTTTATGGAGCGCGGGATCGACATGCCACGAAGCAATGGTAGGTCTCCTATTCACCGGGCCCACTGATTGGCTATAGCTTCAGGCATAGGGTCATCCCAGCCAGTCCCGAGTCTACACAGCTCCTGGAAGAGAACCTTATCCTTCAGTATGTATGGGCTTACAAAACCCAGGGGGTCATATACTGAGCTTACAATGCTCAATAAGCCTCGTCGAGTGAGAGCCTTGTCTTTCACGTTAACATCGAAACTAAACATGTCAGTTTCCGTATTCCAGAGTACTCCAAGCGCCCTCTCGGCAGGCAAAGGATCCTTGTCTAAATCTAGAGACACGACTTCCTTGGCCAACCTTGACTCTGGAACCAAGCGTACTACTTCACGTGAATTGCTGATCCACTTGGTGAGGCAAAACCCACCTATGGCAAGCATCTCTCGTAGCTGTTTAACAAGTTCTATTGCCTTTGTAGCATCTGAAACTGACATTAAACAATCATCAACATAGAAATTCTTGTCAACCGTGTTGACGGTGTCAGCGCTGTACTTCCAAGCATTATCAGATGCAGTACGCCTTAGCGCGAAATTCGCACAACTCGGGCTCCACACTCCTCCAAACAGATGTGCGGTCATTCGGTACACCTGTACACACTTTGTCGGGTCGTCATCTTTCCACCAAAGGAAACGGAGTGTATCTCTGTCATCTTGGTTGACCAAGACCTGGTGAAACATTCCTTCAATGTCTGCCATGAAGGCTATGGGTTCCTGCCTGAATCGAAGCAGTACTCCAACCAGCTTGTTGGCTAGATCCGGTCCCTGGTGTACCACGTCATTAAGTGATATTCCGCTGTACTTTGCTGCACAGTCAAATACAACTCTCACCTTCCCAGGTTTTCTGGGATGTATTACGGGATGATGGGGCAGGTACCACACATACATATCAGTGCGATTTAGCTCCTCGGGCGGTACCATCTCTGCATACCTCTTGTTGCGCATTTCAACTATTCCGGCAACGTACTTGTCTCGTAAACCGTTATCTTTGCTAAGCCGCTTACCTAAGAGATGCAGCCGACGTTCAGCCAGCGACTTGTTGTCAGGAAGATGGGGCGGTCGCTGCTTGAAGGGAATATCCATGCTATAATGTCCGTTCTCAAAATGCAATGATTGCTCCCAGATATATATAACCTTCCTATCACTAACTGACATTCCGATGGTGTCTCCTCCCACATCGTCCAGCTTCCAAAACCTTTCCACTTGGCGTTGAAGAATAGCATCAGCATCGATGCCAGTGTGAGGAAATACGAGTTGAGGGCCCTGCTTTCATTGGACCATTGAGAGTCCAGCCCAAAATGGTCTTAGTTGCATAGCGTGCTCCTGAGCCTTTTTCACGGACTTCCGTAAATATCAATACAGCAGGGTTGTCTTGACCAATAAGAAGGTAAACCTCCTTAGTGTTTATGTCTGGTATAGTAATGTCCTGCAAATGTGGCCACCTGTCGAGGTCTGCTCTTGTCACAAGGTTGTCACTGCTGATGTGGAGCTTGGGCCTGGTGAGAACATGCGACATGGATATGAGATTTTCATTCTCCAAGTCTGCCACTTTAAGACTTACTACATGGGTGTCAGTGCAAACGTCCTTGTTGTCTAGGGTTGTAAGCGTTATTGTGTTATGTCGTCCAAGTACTCCTAGTCTCTTCACCAGCTCCTCTGAACAGAAGCTCTGAGTAGATCCTGAGTCAAGCAGGGCATATGTCGTCATAAACCCGATGGCTCCATATCCTCGAACCTTAACTGGCACAATAGGGAGAGCCACCTTACCCACGTCGGCCTCAGAGCGACTTCATGTTGCATTCGTTGAGGTGCTCGCTGTGGGTGTTCGAAGGTTGGCAAGTGTCTGAAATTGTCTGTCACTCTCATTGTTGCTGATGTCGTTCCTTGGTATTGTCGAAGCCATTACCACATTGTCTCTTGGACGTGGAAGATGCAGAAACTTCGTATGCTTCTGTCCACAGCCAGGCACAGTGCACACTGAATTCCGGGAGCACTCAGCAGATCGGTGTCCAGAGCACAGACAATTTACGCAAAGATGTTTACTCTGCACAAAATCTAGCCGTTCGCCGGGTCTCAGTGACTTGAAGCCGTTGCAGTCAAACAACGAGTGCCGGCCTCCACAATAGTGACATGGGGTTTCAGTCCCCGTGGGGTTCATGGCACTGTGCGCTCGATGTGTGGTCTGCGTTTGACGGGAGACAAACTTAGTGGCAGATTGATCTACCTGAACGTTAAAGGTAAAACGCTGCCTCCCCTTCTTGTTATTTGACGTGTCCTTGTGCTGTTGCTTGTTGCTTGTTGCTCCTGCACGAGCTTGCCGAAGACTGGGTCATTCGCTTGGTCTGCAGCTGCGTCGACGTACTCAACCATATCATCGATGTTAGGGACTCGCTCATCTTTCGTCCTAATATGGTAAGCTTTGTTTGTCCAACATCGGCGCAAGTCCATGGGTAGTTTCTCAGCTATCTGAAGAAGACTCCTGCTGTTGTTCAGCTCACCGAGATTCCCCATGGTGGATAACGTCTCTCTGCAGATGCGCAGGTCATCAGCATAGTCGCGCAAAGCCTTACTGCCGTTTACATCAGGACGACGATTGATCTTCTCTATCCAAGCTTCTGATATAAGATAAGAGCTTACAAATCGGCTCTTGAGGAGACTCCTCGCATGAGCATATCCTTCGGCAGGTTCCATGACACTACAGCACTGTATTTGCTTTCTTGTGGGCCCTGTAGAGTATTGCAACAGTCGGGCAAGTTTCGCTTCACTGCTTATGGTATCTTTGTCCACAATGTTCTCAAAGGCACGGATAAAACCCCAGTACTTGAGAGGATCACCATCGAATGACATCATTTCGGTTTTTTGTAGCTGTAGAGCTTCTACTAAAGATTGCTGTTGTGCCCTAGTGTCCTTAAGCATCTGAACGAGAATGTTTCCTATTCCTTGACCTGTAGAGTCTAGCTCGCTGGTTTGTGTCGGTCGGTGATCTGCCCTCATTGCTGTGGGTTGTCTTACGTTTAAATTGGGTTGAATAATTCGTTGTGCCTCAGTGGAGTGCCCTACGTTGGCTATCGGATGCGTCCAGTGTAAGTCGTGTGTGGTACCAATACGCGACCATCCACGTAGAGTTCCCTCAGCCTCCGAGTATGTT